CGTCCTCGTCGTCCTCCTCGTCGTCGTCGTGTTCGACGCTGCGCGAGACGATAGAGAGAGAGAGAGAGAGAGAGAGAGAGAGAGAGGGAGAGAGAGAGAAGACGCTTTTGCCCCCCCAGATTTTATTTCTCGCACTCAAATTCGCATTCACGAATCGAAGCTTCGCCAGATCTACTCTGGAATCTTCTCAAATCATCTGGAATGCGTGCAGGGGGGCAGTCGGGCTTGCGTGGCGATTGGTGGCGATTGGTGGCGATGCAGGCGATGCACTCTGCATTCCCCGAGTTCCTGGCGACCGCGACGGATCCGTAGGTGTCGTGCAATTAGTCCCGTACTTCCGGCGGCATTTTCGAATTCTCGTCCACAAGAAAAACTTGCTGATAACGTTTCTTTTGTTATCGATCCAAATCAATCCATCTCGAGCCCGTTTATATTTCTTCCTGAATGCCGATGAATTGATAACTTTCGATCCTAATGTGGTCGAATTTTTTTCGAACGAATTTTATTTTCACGCTTCGAGATGTACATAAACGTATAAATTTAAAACAATTTTGATAACAATTCAAACGATATTCTGACATTCCGTGTTTTCTTGATTTAACGAACACACGGACACAGTCAATCGCGAGTTACGGTTTTACTAATGCGACGAAAGAAGCGCGTTGTTACTTGATAATTATAGGCTGGTTGGCAAATATCTCTAAGTTTTGCTTAATTAAGTCGTCGATTTGTACCGTACATATAAATATTTTTATAATTTGTTTGGTTTGTTTTTATAGCTTCATGAAAAGCTCGTCGTTCGAAAAGCGATAACCTACAACGGGATTTTTACTGTACGGAACGGCACGGCAATTGGAAAACAAAAAATGTCAATATTACTGTGTCTGGCTTTATCGCGGAGGTTCTTGGCTTCGGAATCTATGCGAGTGAATTAAACGACGAGCGTACCGCCCATTTCCGTCCGTTAGACAAGATAAATCTCGAGGGCCGTGCAAGGTGAAAACAAAAGAAGGTAAGCTTTACTTTTTTTCGAACGATACTTTTTACGCAGAGGAAAAAGGCGGGTTTCGCGCAATTTCACACTCGCGCAAATTGATATGTAACGAAATATTTATGTTTAATATGTACATAGTTTTTATTCTTGTCGAAGCATAACCTGACTGTCGCCGAGGCTAACTTGAATTAATTTTTATGCAGCAACATAAATTGTACTGAAAGCGAATAACTGAGTTTCTGAAGAGATGACTCAGTTGGAGTTGGATCCTCAATTCACGCAGGGATTGCGACTCCTGTACTCCACCAACAAGGACTCTGCAGAGCAGCTGCGAGCTCTATTAGATGAGGCGATTAAACAGAAGTATGGACCATCCAAAATGCTCTCCAATGTGCTGCACAAGAAGGTATGATTATCCCGTAACATAAAACAAAAATGATTCTAAATTTATCTATTCGTTGTTCAGTACATGATGGAAGAACCAGTGTTGAGCGATCACAGTAGTAGTAGCAGTAAGAAGAGTAAGAGTTCCAGCTCGTCTAAGCATTCAAGTAAATCAAGCAAGAACAGTTCCCCAGTTAATTTGCCAGCGCGTGACACTCCACCAGACATCCTGCAATCGGACGATACGCTGGCGCTGGAAATTCTAGAGGATGATCTTACATGTGTCATTTGCAAGGGAATGGACGTCGGGGCGAGAAATAGGCTCGTGGAATGTCAAGAATGTCATTCTTTGTATCATCAAGAGTGCCATGTTCCACATATCTTAGACTCGCAGATAGATAACGTTCCGAAACAAGTGTGGTACTGTTCTAACTGTTCAAAGTCTCAGGTGTGTGTATTTACCCACATTTACAATTTTTTGAGAATATTTTATATATCATTTCGTTTACTGATGAAAAATCTATTGTTATCATTAATTAATCGCTATTAATGAATTCATGTTAAATTTCAAACAAGATAATTCTATTACTCCCTTGATGTTAATGCAAATTTTTACTGTAAAAATATCCTATTTTCTGACTGTAATTATGTTAAATTATCACAACAGCATGAGAAATTTTTTTTTTGCATTATACGTTAAAATAGTTAATTTTTGATATGTTACTACGTACATTTGATAGATACGTGAAGCACCTATCAAAGATCTCATCAATTTGTAAATATTAGCAGATAACTTTTGATCAATTGTTATAAGATCAGTTTTTGGAAACATGAGGTATATGTAAATTAAATCGTGCATTTATTAATGTGAGATAAAAGAATGGTTTTAAATCAAACATTAATTTAAAACATATGATAAAAATGATTTGTTTTAATATGTATAAAAAAATTACGACTTTTTACTTCTAATATCATAATTCGATATGGCTGCAGTGAGAAAACCGAATTCTTATAATAATTATTATAATTTTTAGGTCTCGAAAGAAAGGAGTTCACCAAAGACTGTAACAGAAAGCAAATCTAAAGAGCAGAAAAAACCGAGCTCAAGTAAGTACAGCATACATTTTTATTAATACATGTGTAAAGTTAGTCACTAAACTAACACTGTTAATCTTCGTAGGTAGTGGAGCTAAGATGACACCAAATATTCATATTATCAGCGCAGATAGAAGACTGAAAGATATGATGAAGAAAGCTAAGCAGGACAAACGTAATACAAGTACTGCCACGAGTTCAAAGAGCTCTTCATCCAATTCCCCTGCATTATCCTCGGCCAAATCTTCTCAGGATAAATCAGGATTATTATATAAAATAAAATCAGGGGTAGAATAAACTGTTTAACTTGTTAAAAAAAAAGATAGCAAACCAATAAGATCGTATATAAGTAATGTAATTAATGCAGGAATAATATGAAATAATTTGTAATTATTTTGTAATTAATTTTGTTAATCTGGGCGAAAGGACAATTTTTATCATTACTTTTTATGAGATACTAGATAGTTCATTGTTAAAGTAGTCGACAAGTAAAATCTGGATTTACCATCCTATATATGCACGACACTAAGAATTTTGATTGGGAAAATATTTTTACTCTAATACACAGCGTACAAGATCTGAAGACACGGTAGTGTCTCGGCGCCAAGACAAGCGCACGTATATTTACATGGAAACGTTTTAAAACGGAGAAGAAAGGTTTTATTGTTACTTTTTATGTATATATTTTCATAAGACCAGAGAAAGTAAGAGTCGCGTCCCCTTATGATAAAGACAGAAAACCTAAATAGACGGTATCACACTAATGTGTATTTATATTGAAGTTTAATCTCGAATTACATTCAATCGATATTAATACAATTGGGCCTTTGTGTATGTCTGAATTTCTTACTGCCTATATAAATACAATTCCATATTATACAATTTATTAATAAATGTACAAACGTGCCATGTAAATTTGTTATCTTTAAGCTTTCGCATTATTATTACAAAAATATTAAGTATGTAGAAAATAATGACATAATATTACTATCGCTAATAATTATTACACACGTAACATCATTCGTAATACAAGTCTGCGTTGATAGTTTTAATGTAAATATACAATAGATCATTTTTTAATACCTTTTTATTGAGATATTTATAAAAGGAAAGCGATAAAATTATATAAACTTCACATATATATCTCAAGATTGCGTATTAATTGTACTATTATATATATATATATTTATATATAGAGCATATACACAATTTTTTCGTCACTGAAATCAACTCGCGTACCACGTACGCTAATTTATTATTGGCGTAACGATACAACATCGACGCCGAAATTGATGTTAGTGTCAAAAATGCACAGTGGAAAACTATAACACACGCGCCAAGTAGGTTCTACTGTATACAAGATATACATGTAAACTTGTGTATCCGCGAATGCGGAGGTGATTTAGTTGCGACATACAAGAACTCCAAATTAACATAACGACTTGCGTAACGACAACTTGACGACTTTTGGACTGGATAGAATATTTTCGAAAAGTTCACGTTTTGCGTATCCATATATTTATAGTAATGATATTTAAATCTTAGTGCATCAACGAGCTGTGATAATTTTGCACGGGCGCTGTTTTATGTGCCCGTATAATTACAATAAATTCTTTACAAAGATTCTCCAGAAGAAAATTTTGAATCTCGGAAGTCCACGAAGGATCAGAGAAGATAACTGTGTACCTTCGAACGAGGTGAAAATTACAAAAGTGAACAAATTTACTAGGTGTTGACCAATGAAATTATAAATCCTAGTAAATTCGCTCACTTTTGTAATATTTATCTCGTTTCAAGATACACATTTGACTTACAGAAGATCGATCATCTTCTTTACATGTCTCTGCGGATATTTGGATGAATGGTTGTAACGACTCAAATTACAGGACACGCTCCACCGTGTCCTAATCGTAGGGCTGATAGCAAGTTTGTACAGCCGAGACTGCGGGTGGGCAAAAATAACGAAGAGATAACGAGATACCAGTCGTTTATAATACCAATATATTTCTTGCGATTTTCGTTTTAAATGCAATTAGTCATTTGTCCCTACGTCCCATCGAGAATTTGGCAAGAATCATTTCGTTCTCTCGAGTGTCACTTAAAATCTACTCGTGCGCGAGATGAGGGGGGGGGGTGGGAGGATGGGTTGAACTACTATGTACAATGAAGGGAAAGAGAGAGAAAGAGAAAAAAAGGACTATTCGTGAGGGGTTGAAATTGCACATACATACACGTACACATGAATACAATATACACGCATATCCGCGCATACAAGTGTAAGAGCATTGTTGCACTTAACTCAATGAACAGAGGGCAGACCCTTCTCCGTAGGTCTTTTAATGGCAATCAAGGTTGATCATTGTAACAAGACGATCAACGTCCCTTTTTTGCAATCTTGAACAATCCACTCCTAAAAAGATGAACATTTTTTCTAGGACGCTAATTTAGAACAAAACAAAGACATAATTGTTCAATATCGTAGTCAATTATTACTTAATGAATTATTACTTAACTATGTGTGCTTTCCAGCAAGAAAGAGGATGCAATCCACTTGGCATTACAAACGTTTCGAAGCATTTGCAGTAGTATCAAGTGACATAGTGGAAGCTCCGTTTAACAGATAAATGTCATAATTGCTATGAAATTCTATAATATGATTGGCCGCGTTCAACAAAATGGTGCTTTTCAGCAAGAAACAAAGTGGGAATTTTCTGTTTAATTACACAAGTCGATACAAATATTCTATCTTTCTTGACATTCAGAGAGTAACAAAGATGGAAAAACGCTTGAACCGACTTGTGTCATTAAATAGAAAACTCCCATCAAATGGAAATCACCTATTGTAAACTGTAACACTGATTATTTCGGCTTCGTTTAACATTGACAAGTAACAAAGATGATTTTGCTGGAAAGCATCCTTTTTTGCTACTGTTGAAAGTTTTTTTCCTCGCGCTGATTGGATTATACTTTTAGCTCTAGAGGAATAGTCCTATCTCAGCGAAGAAAACTTTCAACAGTTGCAAAATAAACATTCAGCTAAACTATTGGTCTTGCCTTTAGTTATTCTGATTCTATCTAAATGAATAAACCAATCATATTAAAGAATTACAACAGCTACAAAACTGCTTTCTCTGCTAAATGCAGCCAGTGTAATACAGTGAATTATTACATTCTTGTTTGCTAATGTTAAAGTTGAAACGATCACTGTGGTGTTACACTGGGATACACTCTATATTACACTGTTTCTTGCTGGGAAAAAATCCATATATTACCCCAGCAATGATTTAAAAAAGATCCAATTGAAATAACGCGCTACTTCAACTGGGGATTTTCCGGAGAATATAAAAGAGAAACGTCCTCAATGGGAAAAATTATCAGGATCATCCCTTCCATCCTCTCTCTTTCTCTCTTTCGTCGAAGCTTAACAAAGAGTTATCTTAACTCGACACACGATGTGTTCAGATTTATCTATATATATACTACGAAGCATGACACACTAATTTCGCCCCCATCGGACGTCACGAATCGCCTCTCTTCTCAGTCTGTTACGTTATTAATTATAAACGTTGAATGCAGAATTGACAAGCTTTTCAGATGGATGGAGTCGACTTCCGATCGTACGGCCCGTTGGGAAGCTCTGCCGCGTGCTTTCCTGCTATTTATTTTAAGACGCTCACACGGTCCTCCACCTTTATAGCCGACGTTTTAATAAAATATTCAGCGGACATCGCGTATAGAGGTGGCGTCAATATTTCACCGTTCGCTCTTCTCCAACACATATATACACACACAAACACATATATATTTGTCCTTTGCTTACTATCCCGTTTATTTTTACCACACGCTCGTAACACACAAGGTGGAAATTAAGAAGCGGTATCTTGACGCGAGAAATGGATAGATAAATGCTGTCGACGTTTTTTCTTTCTTATCCCAACAGCGCGGCAGAGCTGCAAGCACCTGTACGTTCGCAAAGTAATAGGGTGACGTTATATGGATTCTATCGCGCTCGAACGTTGTGCTTGACATATATCTTATATATGCTGCACGAGAGTATTCTCCAACTGAATTTTACGGAAATAAAAACGTCCCGCGCCTGTCGGGAGGCCAACTGGCACCCGATAATAGCGACGAGACATATACGCGGGTGTCTGTTTGTGTATATGTGTGTGTACACACACACACACACACATATATATATATATATATACATACACATGTATACACACACATGAATACATGCGCACGAGCGTGTCTCAATGTACGTCAATCTGTACGACGCAATATATTCGAAAAGACGCAAAGAGGAACGCCCGTATTAACGCTGCACATTTAACGCTAAACGCGCCTACCGTTATGAGCGCATTTAACGACGAACGTGCTATTAGAATAGCGAGAGACACAATCGAACATTCACACACAATTCCACGACGGTCCCTTATAGAAATTCATTACTAGTATTAGCCAATTAATTTAAGTACTCTCTAAAACACTCTTTAAGAGTAAATCTCACTCTAAAGACTGAAATCTGATGGGTTTTTTTTACAATAAGCCATTAGTCTCTCCACTCATATCATACTAGTGACCAGTTAGAATAAGTAGTTATAAATTTTTAGGAAATTTACATCCAGAATAAATCATTATAGACTGTTATGTAACAATATTTCAGTCAATCAGAATAATGGTAGTTTTCAGGGCAAATAACAATACACTATGCGATTAGTCAGTCATAACGTAATCTAAGTTTTAAACAATGAATTACAACTACGGGTAAGTGAGAGTAAATAATGACGCGGTAATCAATGCATCTAAGTTTCAAATAATAAAAAATAGAATTTGGCCATCTCCACGCAGTCACTGATTACTGACTTATTGTTGCTTTATAATACATTACTAACATTACTGACTCGCTTACAACTCGTCTCTGACTTTTACTCTTATTACTAACGGCTTATTGTAGAAAGTCCATCACTCTTAAAGATTGAAAATTGACCACTCTTCTCTAAAACTAGCTTAATTTTCATTCTTTAGAATGAGATTCCACTCCAAAGAATTAGAGAACATTAAAAGTACTTTAACGATGCTTTCAATACTGGAAGTGATTAATTGGCCAGTACTATTATGAAATTTTTATAAGGATCTCTCCTTCGATTTTTCCCGCGATAAGACAACGGGGGAAAAATCTCGCCTCTGTAAACAATTTGGCGGGGCGACTCGAGCCTCTCGCTCTTTAAATGCGAAACATGGCAGTGATAACAAACGAAATCAGAAGGCTGTGTATACAATATCAACAATTTACGAAGGACGTTTGTCACGTGTAGGATTCGGTATATAGCGACGGCAATTCTGTCGT